TGATGTATACATGATGCTGATTTGTTTGATTTCTGTGTTTTACGCAGATTTGTGGGTCATATTTTATTCGTACTTTTTGGTTTTATGTAGTATTGTTTACCTCTCCCACCTGCAGTTGCAGTGAAAAAGGAGACTTAATTGAAAGTAGGGAAGTTATCACCGAAATGCCTTTTAAAAGAGACTAGTTTTGAGTCAAGTCAAATCTACTTTGCGGACTCTGCAGCTTAGCTTACAACTCACGCCAGCATCATGTATACATCAGCCCCTGTCTAGGCTTGGACAACCGAGCAGTATCCTAGCTCTCATGCTTTCCTTGGGTGGCACGGAAGTTAGACACTGAAAGGATGTTACAGCTGAACGATTTGTAGTTGTTCCTACGGCCTATTCGGTCACTTTAATCTATTTAAATCTTTCCACACTGTGTGAATATGAAGTAAATAGCCTTCCAGCATATTTAGATATTTTCATTACAAGGAGGCCGGATGGATAATCAATTACACACAAACATGAGGGTAAACGGATTTTTCGAATTCTGTCAGATGAAGTGAAAGCCTTTTTAAACCTGGTCTGCTGAAACAAAGGTAGTTTATGCGACTGATGCACTTGGCCGTGAACTCCTAATTCTTCCGAATACTTCAAAGAATGATAATACTCCATAAGAATTTTTTAGACACAGCCAACGAGAAAGGGAAGAAGACTCAACAGTGCAGATTATCCGGACCCTTAAGAAAGAGATCCCTCATGAAGTTATCACAAAATCCCTTTAGCGACGCTCAGACAAAGCTTGTAAACTGCATGACTCTAATCGCTTTTCAGAACAAGTTATTCTTCTCCGATCAGCAAAAGCAATTTCTGATGTGCGCTTTCACATTTCTAATGCGTCAGTTTGTTTCCCGCCAAGTGTGAAGTAGTTTTAGGACCAAAGGGTAGGAGCCTTCAGACGTCAAAATAGGGTATTTTCCGCAGTGCAAATTACGACAATAACATTTTCATTAGTTTCATATGGGCCTGCAGTTTTGCTGAACATACTGTCCTTCTATACATGCTAGTGTAATTTGGTTTCCAAATTAGCATATAAACACAAGCAAGACTTTCGATTGCTAAATACCAAAATACCTGACGTGCACATAGTCCTAAGGTTTCCAAGTAAAGATGTTTATTTTGGCTTTTTATACGGAAACCTTAAAGTTTTTTGCAACCGAGGAAACCTTTTGTTCACTTTTGACCGCACTTACTGTACGATTATCGCTGCTGCATCCTCGGGTTCAAATCAGAGGGTGTTTTGTTACTGTTTTGATGGAGCTCCACTGATGACCCGATACAAAGTTCCGAGGTTCCAGTTGCTGTGCTACAATCTGTCGGCTCTTCATCCCACCGTGCTCAACTAATTATGCCAGGTTAAAACCCAGTGCACACACCGAATTACCTAATTTCCTCATCTTTTTAAAGTTTGGAGGTTGTTCATGCTTCATCCCTGATGAGTGACAGAAAAACAGTACTCGTTCTGATCGACCGTAACCGACAGTAAGTTTTTTAATTGACCAGTGTATTATGTAAATAAAAAAGAGCAAACATGTCTGACACCGTACACTTAATCACTCCAACGAAACCAGTTTACAGGCTTTGTGAAATCTGCAATATTTTTTGGATAATTAGCTGACGTTCTGTGTCGGCACGTGCTCGCTAGGTCAGAGCCTAGAGCCACAAACAAGAATGTCACTTGACCGATCATTACATATCCACATGATGTTCCCAACGAGGTCGAACTCTTGGACTTGGCCTGGTTTGCGAGCTCCTACCATATTATCGCATTGGGGGTGGATGGAGATGATGGGCTGCAACGGGTTAATTGATTTAATTGTTCAATGGCACCAGTCTTCATCGATGACATATGAATTCCAACTATCCGAAGTCAGTACGGTTCTGTCTCCACCACATGGATTCCCACTGTCCCTCAGTGTCAAATTCCCCGAGGTGATCTGTGCCGCAATTCATACTATCACGAAATTCCGTCCCGATGATCTGGACTAGCGCCCAATCTATCCAATTCCATTTCATGTGGACCTTGGCATTCTGACTGCCGAAACTCCGGGGCATCGTCAATGAGCGAATCTCAAAATCCATATACCACTGAGCATCTGATAGATCCAATAACTGGTGACTGTCACGTCAAATTTGCTCACGATCTTACATAGCGAAATTTGGTAGTGTGGAAAAATGTGTAACTTTGAACGTTGTTCGCGAAATCACCAGAAATGGAAATGAAAAAGGATGGAGCGAATCATCAAAAACATGAAAACCATTGGTGGCTCCAGATGGGTCGATTTATTTATGCGATTTGGAATGGGAGTGCTGTGAAACATTTCGAAAAAGGCACTCACGGACAATTAGAATAAGATCCTTACGTGATGAGTCTTATACACTACCAAATAGCGAATTTATTGTGTGTACAATGCGAATAGAGGCAGCAAAAGCGATACGCGAAGACTAAAGTAACAGGAAAGTTAGAAGAGGTTTCGGACATTGAATTAGATGCTGGGACTCAAGATGCGGAGCGAATGTGGCGTCTGGTAGAATCCAAGCACTAATGTCTCAAATCTGTAAAAAGGATGACTTCTTCCAGGATGATTTTTGGAACTGCCCGATCAAGTACCGTTAACATCCTTGCACAGGGAATAATCTAAAGAGACCACTAATAAAACTGAGAGAGTCATCTGAAGATTTCTGTGAATTTAGGCCGATAAATCTGAGGCTAGCTCATTTAACACAGGACCAACCAGCTTTTCGTGTTTCGCCAAAAGAGACTTTTTAATGAGATTATCTTTCACACTACTGCATGCATGTGCAGGACGGTTCAGGACTTTTCCTCTTGACTTGTTTCGAAATATCTAACAAGATCCCGTGGACACTAGAGGTCTGCTTGCAGCCATCCATAGAAGGAAAGATGGAAACTGACCTTTATACTAATGAAAAAGAAGACAGGGAAATTGTTCCCATGAAGCTCACTGGGGGTATGAGCTGCAGATAAGATTTTCGTCGTCAATATATCTCACCGACTGGGCAGTCACGCGTCATGTGGACGATGCATGCTGAACGACTTTCTTTAGAAAGGTCAAGGCCAAGGTTTAAATTTATTTACGGCAGTCAAGAGGTAGTAGTATGACAGTCCTGTCCTTTTTATCTAGCTAAGAGTAGTCAGACTGCATGTCAAGATCGGGAGCTTCAAATATAGTTTGAAAAACTCGCCTAGAAAAGCTCGAATATTTTCCTAAATATGTGCCTGAATTCGGGATACCACGATGCACGCCAAGCTAGAAAGCGTCTTTCCTGTGGACGTGCAAAAGTCTTCGGTAGCGGCCGACAGGTTGGGTTCACAGACTTTGACAGGGTTAGGTATAATTTATTTTTTAAGTATTATCACGCAAAATCATTTTGAACAGACCAAACAAAGAACCTCAAATGGAGAACAAGGGCGAGAGAGCCCTTGACTGAGTGACCCCCACATAACAGCTTGTTGCAGTATCAAGCACAATTTCGTAATTTTTTTCCAGGGTGATTAACGTGTAAAGGTGGTTTAGTCTTCCAACCTTCAGTCTAATTAATCAAGACTGACCAGGGCTTTTGTGTGTGTTCCTTATGCATAGAATCTAAGCTTACAGCTCAGTACCTAACCGAACTTCCATGAGGACCATAAAACTGAATGAAAATTGCCCCACTATTTGCATATATTTCAAAACGAGCTCTCAAGCCTCCAATTCTGAACTCATCTCACACATGAACGCAGCCTGTGCTGTTTGATCATCAGTGAATTGTAAGTAAGATTCCTACCCACACCATTCAGTAATATGGCTTATTTATATTATTTATACCAACGCCCTATCACGTCTTAGCACAAGATCACGACGCTGCTGTTTGATTGGTCGTCCGAACGTTCCTCGGTAGTTATTCAGTGTGCACTTCCAAACGTAAATATAACAGTTGTACAATGTTCAGCCTACTTAATTAGAATACTAAATATCCACAACGGATTAGAGTCCTAGAAATTTTCAACGCACTGACTGAACTGAGTAAGTGTGTGGATTACATTTAGGTTTAGCGCTTCTAACCAGGTTGGATTTTCACTACAAAACAGGTTTTGGACTAACCCCGTTTATCCAGTTCTTGTTCCATAGTTTTCCCGAGCGAAAAGCAGAGTAATACATCATGTTCTACCGTTTTTACGCCCTTCCGGATTTTGGCATCGCTATCATCGAGTGGATTGGAAAACCGTTCTTTAATGAATTGTTACTTCGTCTATCGGACGTTCGGCTTTCAGTCGGACTGGTTGAAACGTGATTGCTGACACGGCGTTTTCACTGTTCACTGTGGGCCAGTCTTTTTCATGTTTTGGAGACAATTTTTTTACAGTGTGTTAGGCCAGTTTTTGACAGACATATTGTGTGTTTCCTCGCTCATACGATCTAATAGGTTGAGTAGTAAGGAGTGCCCCGATGCTTGGAAGCATGTATACCATAAAATCATGGAATCCATCTAAAAGCCTAAGTCGAAGGGAAATGGGTACTCATCTGCACTTTGTCAAAAATGATCATGTGCTAGTGATCTGCACCGTTCGAAAGGTTTGTAATTGGCGCAGTGCGACAGCCGTTGGTAACTAGTGCTTTGAGTGTTAAGTTAGTTTAAATGGGCCCAACCAATCAACTCGCTAGATTGTTGTATTTTGATGGAAAAGATCGGGGAATCCTTGAGACTACCGATTACTAGTCCAAGACATACCCTTCTGCTGCTCTTTCATGTCCCTCCAATCGCTTCAGCGCCTATTGTGTTTGCGAAAATGAGCCATTACTGCAAGCCACAATCCTTCCCACTACTATACAAAATCAATACTTCCCCACATCTAGTGGAGCTCAAAACCACTGGCGTGGTTCCACATCTGACCGAAATCTACTGCTTATCGAAGAGTTTGTGATGTATATCATGAGATCACTGTCTTTGGGTTTCAGCCTGGCAGAATGATGTGCTCGATCCCAGTGCTTCTCCTGTTCCAAATCCTTACGATTTCACCCAGTCGAGCTTATCGATTTGGTCTCGGGATGTTTGACATTACAGGCCCTGCGGCAGAGGTCAATATGGTAAGGTTGCCTTGACATTTGCTACTGTATCAACTCTTCTTTATGACAGATGGGCTATGCAAGGCCGGGACAAAACACCCAAGGTATACACACTCGGCTTTTTAGCCGAGCATTTATTATCCAAGAGGACGGGCCATCACCCGTCACGGTGTTATTTATCAACTTGGATGTCGGAATGATATCACAACTCCTCAAAACACAGGTACTGCGCTCTTGAAAATAAACTTGATTCTTCTATTACAGGTTGTCATGGAGCTTCAAAAGCGATACGATGGCATTTTCAATCATTCCAACGTCCTCCTTTCTGCCACGCACACACATTCTGGTCCTGGCGGTTATTTTCAATACTTTCTTTACTCGGTCACCTCACTTGGGTTTGTGAAACAAAATTTTGATGCCATGGTTACTGGGATCATTAAGGTTCGTTTGACCCCATTAGTGATCTGAAAGTCTTGTTTGTAACTTCAGAGTGTTGAGATTGCGAAATCGAACATGATGAACGGAAAGATCTACGTCGCCAAAGGCGATGTTCTAAATGCCAGCATCAATCGAAGTCCGGCCTCCTACGAACTCAACCCTGCAGAAGAGAGGAAAAGGTGAGTTAGAGGAAAGCCTCCTCTATATGTTGTTTCTCATTGTAAAAACGAACATGCTCAATTGCAGTTAACGAATGGTGGTCACATTCGACAAAATGTTTCTCTGGAAGAATGTTGTAATCGGTATGACAAGCTGTTCTTACCAGTATCACAGATGAAGGTCATTTACGGTGTAGACCTGCGTAATGGTCAGCATAGTATGGAAATCTGATCGTTGTTGCGATGTGCTTCAGTGACCTTGTAAATCACCAGTACATTCTGAGCTGTATTGTTCAAACCCTAAATAGCCGTTCAAGATGAGTTTCGGTCACCCTTCCTCCAAGTGTAACAAGCTTTTAGGCACTTTTTGTTTTTTAAAGAAGATGTACTATCTTTTTCATCAGCTTGACAGTTACATCTTTTAGTAATACCACTAGAGCGGAGATGAAAAAAAGTTGACTTTATTTGAAATAAGAAACATACTATGCCTCATAAGTTTTCTCGACTAGTTGAACAGGGTACTACACCAAGACTTCCCAATAGTTGCCAGATTGAACTAGAGGCCCAAAAGTATACCTTGGAAACTGGCTTTTCTTCTGGCATGGATCCTCAACTTCACTCAAAAAAAGTTTTCCCGATAGAAACGTTATTTTGCTACCCTCGTTTCTCGATAAGCATAACGATCGTAGACTGATATTAAGGTTTGCCTCAAATGTTCATCAAGAGTACGTAAGTCTTGAGCGAACCAGGCTGATAATGCTCTTCGGTTAGCCGTGTCTGTTGATTTGGTTGGATTTCGTCTTTCCAATGTACCATTTTTATCCAACTTATACCGTGGGAGCCTTTGAAACCTTTGTTGCAGACAACAGCTTAATATGAGCTTAAGGGTAGAAATAAGATCACTCTTCAAAGGAAGAGTGGCACGAGGAGAAGGCACTTTTGCACACTCCTGGAAGACTGAAATCTCTTTGGGGGATGTGGTCTTACCCCGAGTATTGGTATGAAAAATTCTATCGAGGGTTTCCTTGGAAGTAACTCTCGACTGTCTGTCATGATGCCCTGTGTGCTGTACCCATATCTTAAATAGCCCGACTTAGTGTTTTGATCATCGTGTAAGGTAAAGGGAGTTTCAGTGTGCGAAATTACACCCACTCTGTCGACGTTTCTCCATGGAAAGCATTCCACTTAGAACCACAAAGCGACTTTCTGTCATAGCGATAGTCGACCTAAAAATGCTAGTTGTGTGTCATACGAGACGTTTAGGATCTTGACCAACTGATCTGGAAGCGCTTGAGAGTCGCATTAAAGCTGGACCCAGACTCACCTGCTCTCGGAAACTGAACTCTTAATGGGTGATAGAGATTGTTCTGGTCGGTTTATGAACACGTTCGTCTCATGGAGATTTGTCCCTAGTCCTTCTCTGGCTGCACCTCGGATTTTGCTAACTAAACCGGAGTAATGGTATCTGCTTCGAGAAATCCTGTTTGTTGTAATGGAGAGTAATGTTGGATGCTTTGCTCCCATCGCAATCACGCTGCTCCTACAAACTGCTCGATGTATAACAGCCTCTGTTTCATGATAAAAACCCTACCATGTAGACGGAGGGGGTTCACACGGAGTGCGGAGGTAGTTCTGTTGAGCGTTGTTTCCATTGTGAATCTACGGCGGTTGATTTCCAACACGAATCGCTTGTCTTACGAATGTTTCCATTGGAGGTTTGTGTGAACGTACTACAGGCAGATTACCAGTCATTGACCTCAACTTGTGTTTCCGACTATCGCAAATCCATTCTGTGAAATATTGCACGTCGTGCTTAGGTCGACAAGGTCTGGTACCAACCCAACTAGTGGTAATATAAACAAGAAAAAGTGTCGTCCCACCTTAAAAGCATCAGCTGATTGTGAAATGCTTGTTTATTTGTTTATTAGCAGCGTCAGAATCCAGAACGCAGTGACGCCCAAATTTCTTAGTAGAAGTTGAATTCCGCTCGAACGTTCCTCGCCTGAAACACATTACCAAGCACTTCGTAATGTTTGAACCATTACTGTTGATGATATCTAGTACATATTTCTCTATGTCACGCTTAAACGTATCTATTTGGTTTGTAAATGAAGAACTAGGCGGATAAGCAAAAAAATTGATTCGCAAATAATTCAAGTAGGTGCAAACGGGACACTCATCTGTGCTTATCCAGGGTGAATGAAATGGGTCGTGGGCTCTCGAACAGCTTTAGCACCTTTATGGGTAGCATGTTCCATCAAGAAAAAACTAGGTTGTTCCACGGAGGGAATTACTCACAAGGTTGCCGAAAACTCTTCGACAGCCCACGACCCGTTTCTCCCTTTTTGGGGTAGGCCTAGTCCCCGAGTTTCCGTCAACCTCATGCTCTACTTGAACTCAAATTGGACTGTTTTCGAGAAATACACTCATTTGCAAATCAACTTGGTTTTCACGAGAGACTCAACTGAATCTCTCGTTTATGATATTCTACAACTGAATGTGCCGCACCCAGGCCGCCTCATGTTTTAGTTGGAACGATATTCGAGACATCGCAGTATACTTTCATAAAGGAAGCTACTCACAAGGTTGCTAAAAACCCTTCCACAGCCCACGACCGGTTTCGCCCTTCTTGAACTAATTTTGACAAACACACTCATTTGAAAATAAATTGGGACTTTATGGGATACTCAACTGAATCTCCCGTTTATAATATTCTTCAGCTGAGTGAGTAGTTTCACTTATGAAAATATACTGCGATATCTCGAATATCGTGCCAACTGAAACATGAGGCAGTCTGATGCAGCACATTCACCTGAAGAGTATCATAAACTAAAGATCCAGTTGAGTTTTCCAACTTGATTTGTAAATGAGAATATTTGTCGAAACTAGGCTGTTTCCTTACTGAGATCTGAACTTCTAGATGGCTGTGAAAGTATGGACGATGGTAAAACCTGTAGATGATGGATAAACTAACTGGTAGGATTGCATGTGTGAGAAAAACACCTGATTACCTGGTAAAAGAGAAACAACCAGTTGTCTTGTGCCACTAAATCATTAGAATCTGGTGCTAGGATACACTTCAACCAAAATGCGGATTGGAATTTGAGCTATTATTTACTCCGCTTATTGTGATCTTATTGAAATAGACCCAGTTCAAACCAACTTGTCAAGCTGACTTTGTATTCTACCTCATTGATTTAGATACCAGTCGAATGTGGATACAGAAATGGTCTTACTGAAGTTTGTCAATTCTTCTGGCCATCCGGTTGGGATGTTAAACTGGTTCGCAGTACATGCGACCAGCATGAACATGACAAACACGCTGATCAGTTCAGACAACAAGGGTTTAGCAGCCTTAATGTTTGAGGAGCGATTGAACGGACACAGAAACGTTGGACAGGTAGGCTTAACCAAGCTTAGAGAATGGTTCGATTTTCTTTCTTGAGGGTCCATTCGTCGGTGCTTTCGCTCAAGCCAACGAAGGCGATGTATCACCAAACCTTCGGGGGCCAAAATGTATCGACACGGGTAGACCGTGTGATTATGTTCACGGAAGTTGCAATGGCCGCGTAAGTATAATCGATTGGAGCCATTGTCATTTGTATAATAGACACAAAAATGTATCGCCTTTGGTCCAGGCCAGGACATGTTTGAAAGCACCAAGATAATTGCACAAAGGCAATACGAAAAAGCTTGGGTAGGTCACATGCGTGTTTTCACTGAAATCCTAATCGATGTTCAGGAACTTTTCGAAGCTGCCAAGGAGGAAATATCGGGTTCCATATCTTTCACTCACCAATTTGTAGACATGACAAAAATGAAAGTACAATATGGAGTGAGTCTCGTTCTCAAAATTTATAGTCATCCGTAGGGTTACAATAAATCGACTTGCAAACCGGCGATGGGATATAGCTTTGCTGCTGGAACCATGGACGGTCCAGGGGACTTCGATTTTGTTCAAGGTAAGTAAGACCATTTAGCTGAGAAAACACGCTGGCATTTTCAAGGAACTAAGGCAACCAGTTTGTTCTGGAATATCATCAGAGATTTGATAAAAAGGCCGAGCAAAGAACTAAAACAGTGTCACGCACCGAAACCAATTCTTCTGGCCACTGGTGAGGTAAATGTCCAGGTTTTAATAAAACTTGCTCACCTCCTCATCCCGTCTACCGTCGTTCACAGCGCAGTGACTCTTCATTGTAGCTGAACCGCCCATTGGAATGGCAGCCAGCTATTGTGGAAACTCAAGTACTGCGCATTGGAACGTTCTTGATTGTTGCATTGCCCGGAGAGTTTACAAC